TCTCTAACTTGAAATTTTCACATACATCAAATAATTAACATTTATAAATAACTGAGATCATGTACACAGCTATTTTAAGAGTCAGAACTATAGAATCACTGATACCTTCAAGTTGATTTTCACGAAATTAATTAACATCTAGTAAAAAAAAAATATAGTACTCTTTTGATGAACTCATCAACCAGTTAAATTTTAAATTTATATTAATTTATTAAGAAATTTTTGATTAAATAATTAAAAAGCAAAAATTTATTATTGAGTACAAGTATTTATACATATATTTTGTTGATTAAGAAATTATAATTATTCTACTGTTAAATTATCCAATACGGAAAAATTCATATTCTAAAAGCAATCATCTGTCATATTTTGCATAATTTTTTCAAAATGCCTCCTTTTGATTTTAATAATTATCTTAAATCTAAGCCTTAATAATTAATAAACTGAACCTTAAGGACAAGAGCTCCGTAAACTTAAAATATTTTGCTTCAGATATGCTATGAATAGGTAACTAAATTTAATCTAAGAATAACAACCTGAAAGAGGATTGTATGATAAAACTCTCTTTAACTAATATTCGATGACTGAATTTCTTTTTTAGTAGCGAAAAAAATTCAATCAGGAGAGAAACAGACTGAGTAGACATAATGAGTATGACCATCTAATTTGGCTTATTATTATCCTGTTTAGACATAACATAAATGATCGAATTATCTTTATAAATGAAAAAAGAATTTTCACTTTAAAATAGTATCTATCATCAAAATCTTAGGTTCCATCAGGAGAAAAGCAAACTTAAAAGACTGTAATAGTATGTCCTTCCAATTTATTTAGCTCATGTATTTTAACTTCCAATCGCAATTAAATAGTAAAGCATAATTTAAATTAGTTCCACTTATATTTACATTTTCAAATTTAGATCCGCTAAAATTGTATTAAACAAAATTAGCACCTACTAAAGAAGTATTTTAAATCTTAATATTTTCGAAATTTTTGTTTCTAAGGTCCACCTTAGAATTAACTAATATATGTAATGAATTGGATCCACATTATATTAAAGTTTTATCGAAGGATGTGAGGTGAACTAAAAATTGCGAAAATTCTATGATCTTTCTTTCAACCTTAGATCTTCTGTCGATTCTTAAATGTCTTAACTTGAATAGTCTATTAGATTAAAGTCATGATCTTGGATTTATCTTAGAACTTTAGTAATTTTCTTAATATAATTTGAAACAAAGTCTAATTTCCACCACTTATTGAAATTTTATATATTTTCAACTGAAAAATGTATTATTCGAAATGACTTAGATTTTATATATCTGAAAGATATCCAATAGCGTCTTCATCTTTTCCTTATGAAATATCACTAAAATAATTGTAAATATTTGTTCGTCAAACTAATGAGAAGCAAAAAACTCATAAAGTTTTTTTGCTGACTTAAGAGTGCTTTTCATTAACTTAAAAAAATTATTGAATTTCTATTTATCTATGCTATATCTTATCTTATGATTCATTATTAGATTATAAACATTTATATTTGTAAAGATACTCTTAAAATAATAGGTTAAGCTTTTGCATTAGGCTCCATCTCTATCATTTCTCTTATTTAGCAAAATGTTTTTAGAAGGATTTCTCCATTTTACTCTTTCCAAATCAGAAGTATTAGAAAGTATAATTTATTGTTTTATTCTAGAAAAAAAATACAATTAAATAATATATAAAATTAAAAACTTAGAATAGATTTTATTGTATTATTTAGTAGTTAATATAGTAATTGTCTTATTAATATTTCAATTTTTAAATAACCCTCAGCTCTAAAAATAAAAATAAAGTGATTAAAAATCTTAGAAGTAATATTCAGACAATTTTTCAGTGAAATCAAACTTTACAAGTAGAAAATCAACAAATAATAAATTAAAAAGATGAAGTTAGTTAATAAAAGGATTAATTTTGTGTAAAAAATGCAGAAAAAAACCATACAACTAATAATAATCTTGTAAATCAAACATTAAAACTGTCAGGATAATGAAAATAAATGATAATTAGAAAGACTTTAACAGGAGGGAGATGAAATTATTGATTAATAATATAAATTTTAACCCTCCACAAATAATGCACAAAACAAAAGTTAAAGTAATATGATAGCATGGAGTATAAGTTTGTTAATAATAAAAAGAAACTCATTTTTTATAAAATAATGAAATGCCCAGGAGTATTTGCTTATAAGAAGTAAGAAATATTTATTTAATTATTTAATTAAATATAAATTTCTTATTAGAGAACTGGTACTGCAAAATTCTGGTGGCATAATTAATTTTAATTCAATATATCAAATTGATTTATTAATTAAGATACTTTGGATATTTTTATTTTTGTAACAAGAGCAGTTAAATTCACATTCTAACATAGAGAATTTGAATTACATATTATCTATAAGAGATAATTTTAGAGAAAACCTCAGAACAATTAATATAAAATATATTATAAATTATAATAAAATTTCACTAAATTGGATTTCTTAAATTTCTATTTTTCTTTTGATTATGAATTAACTAACTTTTCAAACTGAGAAGGAATTCGTAATCTAGCAATACTTACCCAAAAAGGGAATTTTAAAGACATTCACATATTTATTACAAAATCTAAAAGTAAAAGTCATTTTTCTTATTTTATATAATTGATTTAATTATAACTATAATTAAATTATCATATTTTTTGTGATCATCTGCATAATAACATCTCTAAACTTGAAGACTTCAAGTTCAAGATGTGAATTATTATTATAATCATAACCTTCTTTAATTAAAGAATTTATAATAATTTTATTTGGTTTTAAATATTTTGTTCCACATAATTTAAAATCATATTTTAACAAACAAAAATCTCTTAATTTCTTTAAGCTTTTCAATAGGACAAAAATTATTCGTTTTTCTAAAATTTCATGTCCCTTATATATAACACTATGTCAGATTTAATTTATAATGATTTCATTTTGTTGATATCAGAATTCATATTAGGATTCCATCAGAAATTTTTTAATATTTTTTAAGTTCATCAAGTTATTGATTTCACTATTCAATTTATGTAGTTTCTATTTATTGTTTATTTATTTATTTTTGATAATATTATTCATTATTATTTTTAATTATCTTTTGTGGCTTTGTATTAAAAACATTTATAAAGTGAAATTTCAAAACAAAAACTATTAAAAACAGGATTTCTGTATCTAAAATTTCTAAACACATTAAATTGGCTTAAGAGTTAATTGAATAAAGGAATATTATATTTTATAAAAAAAAATACAATTAGAATTAATTCAATATCTATTTAGAAAAAATATCTGTTATTGTGATATTCTCTATCATTTTCGAATTATTATAATTTTAATTAAACAATTAATAACAATGATATAGAAATTGAGTTGATGTTCATAATGTCTTTAAGAACAGACGTCAAGAATAATGTTGGCGAATATTTGAATTTAAGTGAATATAATAACTTTAGATATCATCTTAAATTTAATGTCAAGCATTTAGAGAAGATACATATATTTATTGATTGTTCCTATATTCAAATTTTATGGATAATTATGATATGAGAGCTTAGAAGATGATTATCCAAGTAGTAAATTACTTCCCAAATCTCCTTTAGATAAATCTATTGTAAGGTTTTCTTAATATATCATCAAATCTATATGTGTAACAATAAAATAGTAGCATCCGTCCATATTATGAAAATAGATTCTATATATATGTTCACAATTATGTGAGGATATTTAATAGATAAGAAATTTCATAAATATTCTTAAAAAGAGATTTCACCTGTTAACTAATTATCATTCCATTATAGCTTATATGGTATATTAAATATTTTTATGTTTTAATAATGAATGTACAATAAATCAGAAAATATCTTAATTCAGTATCACATCTATAATAATAAAAATAGAGATATATCCAATACAGATGTAATCATTTGAAACTTTGCTTGCATTAATAGTAGAATTCATAATTATGAACATTTTTAGATTCTTGCATTAGATTACTATCCATTATGTAAACATCAATTTGTACAAAACCTTACATCAATCGTATAAAGTGTTGTTATTTTTTTCCAAATTATTCTCTGAGATTTGCATAATCTAATAAGATGGAAGTATTTTTCTTCTATTTGAGAGTTGTGGAATGAGTTAGATTGAGTTATGGTTATTGTGCAATAGAGTGATATACTTTGAATTCCACAAAGACTTTGACATTTAGATCCATTAAGTCATAGTCTAATGGCACTTGCTCCATTATTTGAGCATGCTAGATTTAATCTGTTAATAGAGCAAGTTATGCTGTTTTATGTTTACAAGTGAGGACACATTAAGTATGGACATAAAAGTACTGGAATAGTATATTAGAATACAATTGAATATGACTTAATTGAAAATTTTGATAACAAAGTGGGCAGATTGAATTTTCATTTTGGCTCTTTCCTATTATCTCTTAATCCTCGTCCACTACTAAAAATATACACACAACTCAACTACTTAAGGATTCTTCTAATGTGCTACTACACTTTCGGGAGTATTACTCACTATAACAATCATTTAAACTCTTACTTGATATATTTAGAGAATATCTCTTTGAATTCATTCGGAACAGGGTCATCCCATCCGAATAATGGGCAGATGTCTTCAGTCATATTATAAACTTCTTGGATTTTAAAAATAATAAATTCTGGAGGAAAGTTTGTAAAATTTAATTGGACCATTTTCTTAATGCTTCATATGAGATGTTAAATTTCTCTAATTATATTTCTAGAATATCTTAAATATTAATTAATTGATACTTCATAAGTAATTAAATTAACTTTTCAATTGAAAATTTATAAACTATTTCAAATAAAGGTTTTCAATTAATTAAGAGATTATATAAAGTGTAGTCTTAATTATATATTTTGATTAAATTATTTTAATATATTAATATATAATTAGGTTGTTGAAGTTTATGCAAAAATTAGAATGCTTAATCATCAAACTTATTTAAAAGAATTGTATCAAAAGTGCAGAATTTTAATGTTAAATTAAAAGTTACATTAAATTAAAATTAATTTGTGATAAAGAAGGTGACTAAAGTGGAATTTGTACTTATTGGTACCAAAGAACTAAATAACAAAAAATTTAATTCTTACTTAAGAATGAGAATAATTAAATGAACAAATCAAAATGGGAAATTTATTAGAAATTCAGTCTAAAATCAAGAGAATAATAGACAATTATTTACATTTTAGTTTATAAAACCAATTTCGATCTTATAAATTACAAAACTAAATCATTTTAAAATGCATTAAAAAATTCAAAAGTATAAACTGAAATTGCTCAAGGAATATTTATATTATAAATCTATATCAGTCTAATCAATTAGAAGCAAATCAAGGATAGGAATCAGAAAAAAGATCCTCTACTTGGTAATTAAACATATGGTTTAATTATGATGAAGTTGAGGAATGATTAGATAAATATAATGAAATTGACTAAATAGTTTTTTTATGTTGATAATTTTCTATCATAAATGCATTAAAAATATCTATATTCAGTAAATCTTTGATATATGAGAATCTTAAAAAAAAGAATTATTATTAATTTAATCATATTTTATTAAAATATGTAATTGAATTAGTATTTTTTCTTTTTATTATTAAAACATGTATTTAATGACTCCAAGTACAGTTTACAATGGATAGAATAGTCGTATACCCAACGGAAGAAAGCAAGTTTAAATTGAAGTTAGTTCCGATAATGTCATATTTATAGCAAATGTTAGAAGGCATTTGATGAATATCATCAAAACACATATCATATTTCATTAGGCTTTATTAGTAGTTACTTCAAATATAGATAATGAGAAGATAAGTCATGATAAGAAATATCATCTTGTTGAATTTGAGGATGATAGCAAAGCTAAGTGTAAACAAATTAATATAAGAATAAAAATAATCGAAGGTACTTGAACGAATTGACTAAATTTGAGGATGAATTATATTGTTGGGAAAAAGTGTCAATAAAGTAATAGTTTGATATTGATACATTAAATATCACTGTAAATTAAATTAAATATAGAATGTAAGATTTTACAAATTAAAAAGGACCATATCATCTTTTTTTTAATAATAGTTAATCTGTAGCAAAATAATTAACCAAATAATTATTGTTAGAAAACATTTAAGACAAAAATATCATATTTCTAGCATTGTTTGTAAAATAACATTTGATTTTAAAGAAGGAATCATCACCTCATTCAGCCTTATTGGTTGCTGCCTAGAAATTTACTGATATATCTATCAAATTATTGATGTTATATTGTTGAATATTTAAATGATGGTTAAGTTCAAGCTTATCAATTTTATCCTAAAAATTAAACTTATTACTTGATGAATTTAAATTAATTTGATAATGGACAAAGTTATTGGGAAACTAGGTCAAAAATTTGTTAGTTGTATATTGAGTAAAAATTATAAAATATTATTGATACGATGAAAGAACAGATAATTTTTTTTAAATAATAACACTAGTGTAGCAAAGGATACCTTTGATAAAATAAATAAAAAATAAGAAGAAGAAAGAAGAAGAAAGAAAAAGGTAAAAATATGAGAGAAGAAGGAGGGATGAAAAAGAAATTACAATCTTTTTTTTATTATTTATATGTTTTTTTTGATTTGAATATCATATTTCATTTCAAATAATATTATTCAATTATTATTTAATTCACTTTTTATAATCTTTCTTTTAAAAAGGTATGCATAATATTATGTATACTTGATTTTATATAAGTAAAGAAAATTATGAACTTACTTTTTCATATTGGATTCCAATAAAGATTAGTTAAAAATACTAAAAAATATAAGCAAAACTTGAATTAGATATATAATAGATACAATATTTTAGACAATATGGAAATTTGATGTTTGAAAATAAAAATTAGAATGATTTTATTCTTATTCAAGTTGAAATTTATCAATGATTTAAAAATTAATTTATTATTAAGTGAACATTCATAGATAATATTGAAACAGATAATCTTAAAAAGGTCAATATGAATGTTTAAATAGACAAATAAATATAAGGAAATAGTAATATCAAATTATTTTCAAATTTAGTGGGATTACTTGCTTTAAAGTTGAGATTAAAATATTAGAAAAAAAATAATGATGATAACCAAATAATGAGGATTAACTTATTTCTGGAGGAGACGCTAAGCCATACGATCTATATTCATTAGATAAAATAGATAGTAGTAGTCAATTTTAATTAAAGTGTAAGGGTTCTTTATTAGCAGATAAAATAAGATTCTAATAATAAGGTACGAAAAAATATTTAAGATTTAGAGCTTTTCACTGGTGATTTAGGCTAATGGAAATTACCTTATTTCATGTGTGAATGACTTAGTGGTATTTAATAAAGATATTAATTCGCATAATATTACTTAATTTGTATATTTTTATTTAATTAATTATTAATGAAAAAAGGATATAATAATTATAGTGTAGATAAATTACCAACTAATTAATTTGTAATATAAAATAAGTATATTTCTTATTGTTAATATGCAAATTAAGGATAGGAGGATTCCTTTATTGTAGGACTGATGATTTTTAATCATAGTGGCATGTCTTTAAGTCATTTTGACTCCAACTTTGATTACTTCAGTCTATTATGGTTGAGAATGATAAATAATTCATCTTCAACAGCTTTGAGCAATTTTTCTTTTTAATTTCGTATATTATCTAAAATAATTAATTAGGTGTCTTCAGCTTCTAATAAACGAGAATCTAGAGTGTCTCACTATTTAACTTCCTTTGATTGGAGAAGGAGGTTATTTTTTACTATTGCTGCTAACATTTGATATAGGGATTTTATCAAGATTAGATTGTAAATCTTTAAGTTTCTTTCTGAATTCTAAAAAAAAAAATGAGTTTTGTTGGATTTCATATTCTATGCAAAGTCTTTTTGATGAAGATCTGTAAATGATCCAAATTCAACTTCATGAATTTGAACTTTAAAATATATTCAATTAGATTACTTTTTGCTCAGCTTAAAGAAAAACAAGTTTCATCTTCTCAAAAACTAAGTGTTTGCTTTAAGTAAGTGCATTTTATTAACAAAGATCATTGAATTCATCTATTTTTATTTTGAAGATGTTTTCATTTTGTTAAAAACATGGTTATTGCCATTTTAATTAATTTTAAACTCAAAAATTATTAATAATAATTTCAGAATAGTTTTTAGCCATTAAATTATATTCTTCTTATATATTGTATCACTTGTATATTTAAATTCAGTTGAAGTAATTGTTGAAATGAAAGCAACTACAATACATTATGTTAATTAAATCCAATTCTAATAATATTTTATTGGTATGAGATCTTTTAGTTGATTATGAACAAGAAAATCAATTCCTAAGTATGATTTAGTGTCATAAAAAGATAGAATGAAACATTAGGTTTTGAGAGTCTTCTTTAAACAATCAAAATGAGACTATACAACCAAGGCTTATGAAGTGACTCAAATCTGCAGTCAAATTAACATTTATGACTTAAAGGGGATATTGTATAACTTAGTTCATTAGACCTTTTCAGAATCCTGCCTCCAATATATTTGACATAATCACAATGAGACCATTACTTCTCCAAAAGGAATATAAATCTTAGGTGTTATAAATTTATGTAATTCCTGATCAAGTTCAATCAATTTTATCTTGTCATTTTAGAATGGGACTCTTTCTCAAAGTGCTTTTTTTTTGTTTAGTATCTTCAGCCATATATTTCTAAAATTTTAATCTTCGAAATACTCGGTTTTAGTATAATCAATCTTATAATTTAATAATTACAAAAAAATAGAAATATTTTGTTCCATTAATTCTTCAAGATTTTTTGGAGATGTGAAGAGTTTTTATCTCTTGAAACTAACATGAAGACGAGATGCCATTTCATTGTCAATCTAATTGGTGTCCTAATCCTAAAAGATGAATGAACTCTATTCAATAATTGAAGTTACAAATCTAAAAAAATTAGAATGGATAAAAAATTGATTTTTGAGTTGCATTGCATATATGTCATTACTAAATTTAAATATTCACTATCTAAGAGTCAACATGTCCACTGTTCCCTGACAAAGTTTAATTGCAACTTTGCAGTTTTCATTTCCTAAGTATATTTAATTATTTCTCTTTACTCTTTAATATGAGATTTATATCTATATCTATCTCTCATCAATAGAGTAATGAATAGATTCTAAATATATATTAGGATCCTTTCTCATACAAAATTCTAATCCAAGTTATAAATCTCTTATCAGTTTTATGCAAAGATGAATATTAATGAATTTTCATTGTTTACTAATCCAATTTCTAAATCATTCTTGCTTTGTATTCTCTCACATTCTTTACAAATTAATTTAAATTGACTCTAATCAATTATAATTTCCCATTTGTAATCAGAGCTTTCTTCTTGAACAAATATATATTGGCTCGTTATTTCAAAAGTCATAAAAAAAGAACTCTCTATTCATTTTATTACTCTCTAAACTTTCTAATTCTTAACTGAATACTAATAATCATTAGCTTATTTTTCTTTAATTGCTTCCTTCTTTATTGCAACATGAAATACAAATCATCTATAATTTAATTAATAATTTTCTAATTATTCAAACTTAATATAATGAAGTAATTCATACCAAAGGAATGTCTATTCTCTCCTTCTCTCTCTATTCCTTAAAGTCAATGTTATCAGTTTATATTCATCATGAGCCAATTCTTTAGCTTAAAAATTAAGATTTTTTGATTTGCTTCAACTATTGCTTTCTTTTGTTAATTTCACATCTTGATGCTAAATTAAGTTTCTCTTCTCCATTATGTCTTACAGTCCAACTTCTATTTCTAATAACTTAATCAAAATTAAATTGAGTTGGAAATAGAGAATTAAATGATATCATTATATGGAATTCTTCATTGCAATAAACTGTACAATTCGAAGGAGATTTGTAACCTTTAGTGGTAATATTGCAATACTAGAATTTCATAGGATTCACTTTATATCCTTCCCAGATATCAATGTTCCACTTACTTGACATTGTTAATGTAAATTGGTTTCAGTCAATGTTTATTTCAATGTATAACGAAGGCTTTTCAATTATTCTACATTCCCAAGCATCATCAATGATAGCTAGAATATCTCCTCCAATATACCGGATTAATCAAAAACACCAGAACCACTTGTTTATTATGTGAAGTGTGAAATAGATGGAAAGTTAAGCTGATTAACTGAACTAATAGTTGATTACTTCATTATAAAATTATTATATATTGTTGAAAAATTTTAAGTAGTTTCTAATTATTAAATTTAATAAACATAACCATTCTATGATGAATTGGTCAATATTTATATCATTTATATTTTTATTAATTATATCTACTAATAATATTAACATAATCGCATTATATATAATAATCAAAATTAAATTAAATTGATATTAAAATTCAGATATTTTTATACATGATATTAATTTATGCAAAATGAACTTCCCTTATCAGCATTCTTTATTATAGAATGATTATATTATTAATTTATAATCATATTAAATAAAAAGGCTTTAAAATTTTATTATTGATAATTAATATGTTATATAATTAATAATAAACTAATTGTTAAGATATTAAAGAAATAAATCAATATAAAATAAATACTCCATAAGGATAAATACATTTTTAAAAAGTAAATATAGAGAGTACTATTATTTATTAATCTTAAAATTTACTAAATATATATCATAATTCAATTTCTGACCTAATATATCCAAAATTCTTTGTCTTGGATTTAACTTTTATGTAAAAATACAATAAAAGCAAAGCAATTATTGTAACTAAAGCATAAATCCACTTTTTACTAGCTTTTTATATTTAAGGGGGGTTGAATTAAATGAAATAAGTACCATTTGAAAATTAGTTCCAACAAAATATAGAAACTTTAGTTTCTTATTATGTGTGGCTATTCAAAATACATGTTATATTCCAAGTACTTAATGATTGATTATATATAACTTAATCAAAAAAATAAAGTGATGTTCCGTTTTGATATTATTAATTAACAATCATTGCATAATTAAAGGTTGTAGTATTGAATGAACCTTACATCAAAATAGGGTCCAATGAATCTTCATCTATGAGAATATTCAAATAATCATTTAAATAATAAACTCCAACAATGTTTACTGTATTATATTAAAATTATTGCATCAAAACCCCATTTTTATAAAAAGAATTACCAGTATTGTTTAAATTACCATAATTTGGAATAGTTCCAATAGTTACATAGAATATTGAATTTAATAGAAATCTATAGTCGATTATAAAACTTAAATCCTGATTATCAAAATTACTCAATAGAATAATTGCTCTATTTTTAAATGTTTACAAAATTAAAACAAACGAAGGAAGTATTTCAGAACAATAATTTTAGTTTTAGCAAGGATAAATTCTTACAATAGCACTATTTTTCATATTGATTTAGTTATTTTAAATCGATAAAAATTTATAGAGCAAGGATTAATATAGTTTACCAATTTGGATATAAAACATAAGTATTTATTAATATTATAAATTATCAGAAATTGTTGTAACTATTTAAGCAATAGAGAAATCTAAACATGAACTACTTGAATCAGATATCAATTAAAAGTTATTATTCGATTAATTAAACCAATACAATTATTATTATTATGATTATGAATTTTGTAAGATACCTAAGAGAAAAATTTAGTTTAAAATGCTGTTAATTTTGGAAATATTATAAAAGGTTTAAAGAAGTTAAGTGGTAATTAGATTTACAATAAAGCCTGAAGAATTTAATGTAAAGTTAAGTAAGTATTATGAAGTAATATTTTAACAAATTGTATATAATGAATAAATATATGAAGTAGATTGTAAACAATTACTAAAATTATGATTTGCATAATTAAAATTAGATAGATTATTTAAATTACTACTTAAAGTTTAAATGTAAGAGTTATTCTGTAACGCAAAAAATTTGTTATTTATTGAAGTAATTAAGGAGTAATTCTGAATGTTAGAAATGTTACTAGGCTAATTCAACAATTAAATTACACTACAGTATCTATTTAAAGCTAAGGTTTTATTTAGATTACAATATCCAACTTATCTATCAAGAATTAAATTCATAGGATATGAGAAATTTTTAGAATTAGGAATAATATTATTTTCACTTAGATATACTGGGGGACATGTATAATTCTAAAACAGTGTGAAATTTGTATAAAAATATGCAGTTTAATTCAAAGTTTGCTAAAAAGTAGTGTTATTTAATGCTGAAGTTACAGTATAATTAAAAGTTAATTAAGGATAACTTATTGAATTGTTAAAGACATAATTGGATTATGAATAAGTTAGATTAAAAAATTATTCTTCCGAAAGAGTATATAAATTATTGTTGGAAAGTATTATTGATTTTCCATAACTATAACTCTCGCTTAAAGAAAATTACTCAGTACATTAAATTGGTGAGGTTAATTCTAACATATAATATAAACTCATATGATATGGTAATTAAGGATTATAAACATAAACAGTGTAATTGCTAAAAGTAACATAAAAGAATAAGTTATCTGATGATATTGTTATATTATTATCAAAATTTACACTTAATAGATTCTTTACATAGTTGTATCTTGGTAAATTTTACACATTCCAAACTTAAAAGCAAATATTCCTTTGATTATTACATATATAAGATATAATCAATTATTAGTTTACTAAATTTATCTATTTAATTGTAAAATTGACTTGAATCAAGGAAATAGGTATTGGAAAACTATTTTAATCTATTGATATTATTATGACTTCATTAATATTATTGATATATAAAATAGATGATTATGATTATGTATTTACAACTATTTACATAGGATTGAACTAAATGTTATTGAATAATTTATTTATTGACTATTAATTTAAAGTATAGGTAACTGTATAATTAAATGTTAGTATTTGAATTTCTTATTATAGAATTAGAATTATTATACTATTATATGTTAAAAGAAAATCTGAGAATTATTATTCAAAAGTATAATTTGAAGTAATAATACTATTTTTATAATTGTAGTACTAAACTAAAGATATTATATTATTATCAGTGAGACCAATTATAAGCATAAAAGGATAAATGGTATAGGCAACTTATAAAGAACTTGCATTTATAGAGATGTTAATTGAATTTAATAGTTTTAATTAATAAGAATAGTTGTTGAAGTTAAAAGCGCAAATATAAATATCAAGTTGTTAATTATTATATCCTATTAAATATCGTTAGGCTGTTTAGAACATTAATGATAAAATTTATATAAGATTATAAGTCTAGGCAATTTTACCAAAATTTGAGAAAGTTATTGGATTAAAATTAAAATAGGGTTCATTTTTATTTAAAGTATAATGTAATAATTAACCTGAATAACCATAAAAGCCAACTATTTGAGAATAACTTTACCATAATTATAAATTAGTAAACCCTTAATTATACATTACATAAATATTTGTATCTTACTACGATAGTATTTAAAGATATATATTAATTTGACTAATATTATAAGTCTCATTATAATTGAAACACATTAAATTAAAGCAGGATTAATTTCGTGGAGATTCAGAATTGGTCAAATTGATTTATATGGATGGCTGTGAAATTTAATAAACAACAATTTCTTTATCAAATTAAAATAATTCATTATC